AATTGATGATCGATTGACTTGAAGGCCAGATTAATATTCTACAAATAAGTGACTCGTTGAGTTGTGTTAACTAAGATAATTTGCAGACAGAATAAAATGATAGCAATAGGTTTCGGAGGTAATAAGATTTCTAATAAGTAGTTTACTAATCTTATCATAATAGTTATTGATTTTATGCAGCTGGGATTAATATGAAGTTAGTAAATTGATAGTTTTAGGTGATAACGATTAGTTAGTTGATAGTTAGATAAAAAAAAATTGTGCTAACTTTCAAGATTATTGGATTCTCTCTGCTATTTTATACGCAGTAATTAACCGATGAAGCAGTTTTCCGGAAAGCTGCTGGTTTCTACTCCGTGACATACAGGCTTCTTGATATTTCACTTGATCGTTTCTTGTTTAAAACTAACATTAGCTAATATTTAAATCCATTATATAAATATATATATATATATTCTTGTAAGAATTCAGTTAAGTGTGAAAACAATTCTTTGTTTTTCATCTTAAAGCCTAACTAAAGTTTAAACACTGTACACTTAATCGGTTAACAAAATGTATTGCTGGAATTATTGCAAATAAACAATACAGAATACAATAAATTCATTCTTTTTCTCTGACACAATTAAAATATTCATATACTGAGTTAAACAAAACAGTTGATTTGATTTTATACTACTGAATAAAACAATCAGACAAACCTGACCATATATTATTACTACGTACAACGCAAAAACACTCAAATAGTAATTAGATAATCATTGTAACCGGTCAGCTGTAATAATTGGAAATAGAATAAAATTTTTTGGGAAAGATAAAAGGTAGTGTCATTGCTAAAAATTTACCTACGGCATTCAGTCGAAGAAATTCTCATTAACTTGATTTCTGGTAAGAAAAAAAAAACGATACTATATCATGTGAAATCGAGGCTACATTTTTGTTAAAATCAAATAAACCATTTTTAATATCAAGTAATTACCGGAGATAATTCATTTAAGATCACTTCAATCTTTTATATTGTAACATTATAGTGAATGGATTTCGAATAGAATTTTTCAAATAATTACTTCTCCATCCGATATTGGTTTCTCTGTTATAGTTTTTATGTTACATTAATATTTTCACAATTGATACAAATGGTTTGTTCAAGCTCATTTCCGTTACACAGTACATTTGGAAAAATTGACTTTATTGATGAAATATGTTGTCAGATTTTGAGGTAAATCTTTTTTCATAGGTAGATGATAGTCAACAGATAAAATTCTCATTTGATATATAAATATATATATAATTTGTACAGAAATATCTCATTGTAACTCATTGTTTTGATAAAATCTTACCTGATTAAGAGAATGGAATGTTTCGTCGTAATAAAAACAAAATATTTAATCCAAAAGAATTATGAATATGAATATGTAACATTGCCATAGTGATAAGAATCTTAAAATTTAGTATTTTGGTTATATTCATGAATAACATATAAGCAAAACTAACTTTGAAATATACTCCATAAAACTGTAAGATATGACTGCATTATAGTTATCGCATTACACACCTTTAGTTATGCGTGGAATCTTAGAATAAAAGAATCATTCAAGATTTATTGTTAATTAAGTGTTTGTCCCAAATGTAAGTATCAACAATAGGATGCAAGTGCACCCAATAGGCTTCGTTCACTTGGGATAAAATGCGCTTGCTGTATTCCATTGCTAACCTCATACATAGTAAATGTGCTAAAATTGTATTTGAAATTTTTGTGTTTTGTGTATTTAAAATATTCTAAGAATAGTGTGTTATAATCCCTACTAGCCATTTAGTTTTCATGACAGCGGGAATTTCAACTTTTTATGAATCTAATTACGTTTGTTTTCTTGTTTTGCAATATCTCCACAGCTTCACCATTACGTGTCGATGTTGTGACATTGATAACATTTTAAAGTGAAGTTACGCTTGATGCAACTCAATCGGATTATGAAAGCGACGTATATTATGAATGATATTAAAAGATGACTATACTAAATTTGAATATACAAACCATTGGGATTAAAACTAATAGTTTATAAATTACGCACACTCTGAGGGATTTGAAGGCTTAAGGTTTATTTACCAGTGGGTTTATCGATAAACAGTACTAAGAATTTCTAAATTAGAACAAAACAAATATCACGGCTTCCAGTATGACATCATATTGTGTTGAAATACTTTCTTCATAATCGAAAAACATTTTTTCAATGGTAGAATTTAGTTAAAACAGCTCATGATTACATAATCTGAAATAAGTTATTGGGGTATGAACAATTACTGTCTTTGCCATACCAAAAATGTATACAGATATATATATATGTATATATATATATATATATATGTTTTCTTTCTTTTCTAAATCATCAACAAATCTATATAGTTCAATTGTTCAATAATGAAATAACAATTATAATACGCTAAATAATATAAATCTTCTCCATTAGCAGTAATTTTTCTACTATCTCTACTACTATGAGATTTCAACTGACAATTGCGTCTTTGTGCTAATGTGGTATGACAACATGAACTGATGTACTTACGTACGAAGTTCTGCATTGTAACGGACTGACTGACTGACTGAAATGATTTTTTAATCGGTACCTTAACAAACAAAGTTTATACTTTTGAATTTATACTTTGCGTTGTTCAACAAAAATACCAATCTTTCAATCTATTTCCTTGCAATGGTAATCTAAGAATAAACTCTACGGTATGTTGCTTTGAATTTGACTAAAACATCCTCAAGAGCGGTTACATTTCATTGTCGACCCAATTTTATACATATATTGTTTAATTCACTAAAGAACTCCGAGGTGATCAAATCCATCTATAATAGTATATGATGTTTTTGACAGTAAACTTTCTTCTCCATATATTCGGTAAGTTTGTCACACTAAACAATAATATGTAACATAATTAGAGTCTAATCAAACGGTTTGGACGGTAAAAGGTTATATAATCACTCAACTGAGAAATGCATCTGTCGAAAAGTAGGTTACAAATTTATGAAATTTACATGAAAAGATGATCTCGCTCATGATATCTTGAAAACAGGTATTGTTCAAATTAATCAAGCATAAAGCTTTGAATTTCACCAATCCGCTACTGATATAGAAATTCGAATTGCCAAAACTTTTGAATTTAGTCAATGCTCAATATATTGAAATTGTACATTGATCCCAATAGCTCGAATTGGCTTGCCTTGCCAGAATAAGTGCATATCTAGGTAAGATATTCCTACTACCAAGGTCCAGCTTCGAAGTGCATTATATGTAATTATGTTAACATTTGAAACACTTTATTGCATCGTAACTTCATATTTTCATATCGGTCAGTTGATAGAACCGTGTTGAATAAGTAACTGGAATCTAGCAAAGAAAAATAATAGATTCAGAAGAAAGATTTAATTTGAATAGAATTTATTCATTATATTATATTAGAATTTTCATCTCATCTATGTCCCAATTTCTAGGTTAATCGATAGAATATTTTATTAAATTAGTTTAAATCTACTTCTTATTGGAATTTTGAGTGTAGTAAAACATTAATTATGAACAAAAAAAATAATTTGTAACGTTTTTTTAATGTTTACCGTATGTGCATCCGGTAGGTTAAATTATCTTAAGCAAAATTATTCTAATGAATTTTATTAAGATTTAGAATAAAGATACTGAATTACAAGATATTTAGCTTAGATAGAATAAAAATAATATGTTTCTAGAAATTGTTAATTTTTATCAACGTATTCTTTATTATCATTTTGAAAATATCCTAGATTTTAATCAATCTAATTGTCATTTAATTCAATGGTGAAAGTTTCAAATATTTTGAGAATAAAGTAAACCAGTATCATTTTTATTGGATTTTTCATGTTATTTCATAAAGTAGCTAACAAATTTTGTAAATATAGATTTCTAGAACAAATTACCTTAAACGCGAGTGTTCATTGTCGAACAGAATTTGACCTATATCAAAGAAACTTGTTGAGTGTTGACCGTTTACAGGTTAAGTTTTCATGCTTATTTTTCTTGTTACCTTATATTGCAGATATCAAATTACCTACTTAGCGAAATGTGTTAGCTAAAGCATTTGTTTAAAACCATATTTTAACAGTTAAGTCAATTCTGTATGATTTATGATTACAATGAAAACAGACTATTCAAAGTATACACAACTTCTGAAGATTATGTACAAGTCTTCCTTTCACTTATTTGATAAATGCAAAGATTGGTTTGTTTGTCCTCTTGACTAAATAATTTTTTTGTGAATTATTCTATTCAGTTACAGTCATAGTTTGTCTATTGAAATACAACATTTTCGTCATTATACTAATTGGCATGTATAACAAGTGAGTGTGATTAAGGTTCTGACGCCCACTTCATTCTACCTTGTTTACTTCTTAGGTCAAACCGCTAATAAATTACATGACTTTCTCTAATACATTCTAATCTCAAATTAAATTATTAACATTAATTTAGTTCATAATCCTGCTAAGTCATGTTTTAGCCCCCCGGATGACAGTTGGATGCCGGCCCAGTGGTTCGGTGGTTAGGCGTTCGCGCACAATATCAAAGGTCCTGGGTTCGAATCCTGTGAGGTGCAGGAATCGTGGATGCGCACTGCTGATGAGTCCCATACCAGGACGAAACGGCCGTCTAGTGCTTCCAGGTTTCTAACGATGGCCTAACAATGATAGATTGATGATTTTAAATGTGTATGACTGTTCTGTTTTTCAATCTCCTCCTAGGAATAATGGATTTTTTTTAATTTTATCCATGTAGGACCTTTTGTTACCGTATTTAAGAAAATAATATTCCTAACAAATATTTGATACTATGTATTTTTGACAACGAAGTAACTGAAAATATACCTTCTCCCAGAATCGATACTTTTTGAATAAATGTATTTTTCACATTCAGTATTTTTATAAATTTACACCCAAACACATCTGTAGTTGTTGCATTCCTCTTAATACACAGATAAAATCGGATGGAAGAATAATTCTCAGTCGGCGATTGGATCGTGATGAAATTTGTCCTAAACAACTACATGTAGATTCATCTTTGATTAATATTGATACTGTACGAGTTTCAAGCATATATACCAATTCTCATCAACAAAATGTTTTACAAACAGAAAAAATGTCTTGTCCCATAATTATTCAAATAGGTTTGTTTATTCATCAGAAAAATTCTATGATAAATAAAATAGACAATGAAGTACATAATAATAAAAAGCAAATTCGACTATTTCATTTACGTATTAACATTCAAGACATTAATGATAATGCTCCGTATTGGCAAGGTCATTTACAAAGATTTCGTATAACATTCCTGGATGGTGATCCAGTCGGTTCACGTCGTAATATACCACCAGCTATGGATGTGGATGTAGGAGTAAATGGACACATAACTTATGAACTTGTTCCAGTCAATTCTTATGATAAATCACATATACCTTTTAGTTTACTCGAGGATTCAACTGATGGACTTCACTTGTATACAACTAAACAGATAGATCGTGAAGAACAATCAGAATATAAATTAATATTGAAAGCAACTGATGGAGTGTATTCATTTTCATCTAATGATACAACATTTAAACGATTCACTTCAACTTTATATGTAGACATTTTCATAGAGGATGTTAATGATAATACACCACAATTTACTCAACCAATATTTACCACATCTATGCCAATAGCTGAAACAACTCCAGTCGGAACAACAGTTCTTGTATTAAACGCTACTGATTTAGATTCTGGGACAAATGGCATTTTTCATTTTAGTTTTAGCAAAGATCATTATTGGCAACCAGCTGAAAAAATTGCTAGACATTATTTTGATATACGTCCAAATGGTCAAATTATAGTTAGGCAACCATTGAATGTCGATAAACTTGATCAAATGAACAGCCATGTTCATCGTAATAATAAATTAATTTTATCTAATTTAAGAGGTGGTGGTTACCAGTTAAACGATGATATTAATGAGAAAATGAATAAAGGTGCAAATATTCAATTTCGTTTTCGTGCAGTTGTTGAAGATGAAGCAGCAAGACCATATACACGTTCAAGTGAAGCAACTGTTATTATACTTGTTACAGATGAAAATGATGAATCGCCTATTATTTCATTACTTCCAAATCCAGAACACATCAATTCAAATGGATTGGATGCTGTTACAACATCGAATTCGTTTAGCTATTTCAGTGTTTTTGAAAATCAGCCCGTTAGTACAATTGTTGCAACTGTACAAGTAGGTGAATTTAACGATAATAGGTTAACCGTTTCATTGGTTTACTAAGGTAATTTTTAAAAAAATGTAGGGGAGGAATTACAACTTTACTGAGCAGAATGTAAACTAACTCATACCTTACTGAGCAAAGCTAAATCTATTGATAACTCCAAAAAATATTTTGTATCAAAATCGATTACGAAACCGTTGCTGATTATTAACGGACTATTTAGTGGATCTATTCAGTGTTAAAAGAGGAACCATTATGTAAAAAGTGGTTATTTGAACAAAAGCATCTAGATAAGCTCTGAGACCTCTGATTAATGACCGAAAACACATAAACAAACACACCAGTTATATAGCCTATCTAGATGGTGAATCGGTTTAGCTGAGGATATCAAATTATATGAATTGAAATCACTAATAATTAAGTTGTGAACAATGTTCATCTCTGCTCACTAGTATATGTATTTATTCCATTATACTTTTGTTGCACAGATTCTTTAGCATTTATCATGCCGGCCAAGTGGTCCGATGGTTAGGCGTTCGCGCACAATACCGACCGTCCCGGGTTCGAATACTGCGAGGTGCAGGAGTCGTGGGTGCGCACTGCTGATGAGTCCCACACCAGAACGAAACGGCCGACCAATGCTTCCAGGTTTCTAATGGTGGCCTAACAATGATTGATGTATGATTTCAAGTGTGTAAAAACACAAACCTCCAAAACTCTGCCCCAAAATAATCTGAGTCTATAAATAGAAGGTGACAGATTTCCATCTAGATGAAGCCACTTAAAGCCCGAATATAGTCAACATTAGATGTTATTAGTGTTTCTAATGGATTTTAAGAAGCCTACGATTTTTTTTTAAATATAGCCATTCAGGAACTATCATAGATTTCATTCGATAGTTCTAACAACATGAAATTTCACTGTACTTATCGACAATTTAGTTTTCATGGGAAAAAAAATCTAGTTCACATTTGCTGGTCAAGACCAAACATATAAATCAGGTCAAGTTTTATAGTTCAGTTATTTGATGTCAATTTATTAATATCAGTTCAATCATCTGTCAGTTTTGTATCATTTCATTCAGTTGAACAAAAGTACACTAAAAATTACAGTTCATTTTAAAAACTATTCAACTAAACTTAAATAATATTTATGTTATGTGGTGTGACTGAAGTGTTGTCATAAATGACAGTCATCTTGACTAATACTAGAGATCATGTAATTAAACTTAATGTGAACGTACTTTTTTGATTAACATCTTCACTATTGAGAAGTAAAGCTTTGTTGAAGATCAAACCCGCCACGTATTACATTTTCTGTTTGTTAGGCATATGATCCTGATTTTGGTGGGCATGATCAGGTGGAGTGCAACTTGAAAGATTCAAATTTTTCTCTGGTACGACTTACTTCAAAAACGCAACCTGAATTTGATCAAAACACTGAAGTTAACTTGTTAATAGAATATCATTTGATTACAGCAAGAATTTTAGATCGTGAAAGCACTTCTCACCAAATAGTCACTATTGTTTGCTCTGACATGGCTGGACACTATACAGAACGAAATATAACCGTTCGTATTATGGATCAAAATGATAACCGACCAAAATTTTCACACGACACACTTTATTTACAAGTTGATGAAAATGCTCCACAAGGTACTCAAGTGAGACAACAATCACAAAAAGTCAACAGAGTTCATTTTAATAATATTTATCAAAGTGGATTATCACAAGGACTTACAGCAACTGACTTGGATATTGGAATCAATTCACAAATGACATTTTTTCTTCTTGAAGACGGAGTTAATTCAACAAAGTTCAAAATTGACTCACATACAGGTATTATAACTACAATGGATGTGTTCGATAGAGAATTTAAAGAAAAATATACCTTAACTGCAATCGCAGTTGATCACGGAAATCCTTCACTTACAGGAACGGCCACAGTGCAGGTATGTTTATGTCATCATTATTATTCACAATCATGAGTCATATACAGTTCATTGATAAAACATAGATAAACTAGACTGTAAGGTCTTTTTAAAATTAGTTGTTAAAGTTTACTTAAAGCATATTTTTCATTCATTTCAAACATTTAAAGGTAGTCAAATGTTTATACTGAATGTTGTAAATGTTCACTAGAACTTATACATGAATTTTTAAAAAGACAACAATATTGAAACAAAGATAAAATGTCTGACGTTAAGCTGAGAATTTAAGAATCAATGGTTTAGAATTGTATCAAAACAAAATTATCTTACATAATGAATTACTTCACTATCGGCAACATATTTAAAAAACTAGATTCAAAAATCATCAGTTTTCAAAAGCTCACAATATCGATCTTACTGAAAGTGTCTTTACCAAATAAAGTGAAAATTACTGACTTAAAACACATTATGTTAATAGTCATCTAACCAATGAATCATCAGTTGTATGAATGAAGATTATAAAAAAACTAAATTTATTTACTTCTATCTAAATATCCGCAGAAAAGTGTTTACTTTAAGGCTCCAATTTCAGAAATGGATATCTGTTTTCTTAGGATCCGACTACTGTTTAGTGGGAAACGAAAACGAACTAGAAAATTAGTTTAGTCTATAAAGAAAATATTGCTAGTTAACGTCGAATAACTTAACCATCGATTTTAGCGTAAAAATCTGATTACGATATATTAGTTAGTTAAACCAGTTTGCAACGAGATTGATTTTTAAGAAAAAATGCTACAGTTGTGCTTTTCTTCTCTTGATTCAGTAGTCATCGTTTTCCTTTTTCGACATGGCCGTTAAGAGTAGAAGATGTTCGTAGGTTGCTAGTATTCGATCATAGATGTTTAAGAAGCATTGCTCGTATATCGTGGGACAACTGAGTAAGCAATGCTGTCGTTAGGAAACGGGTGCTAGGTAAGGATGGCAGATCAATAGATGAAGTGGTGAAACTTCATCAGTTGAGGTGGTTGAGACATGTGTTACGAATGCCTAACCACCGACTGCCGCGACGAGCTATGTTTTGTAGTGTAGGAGTAGGTTGGAAGAAAGTTAGGGGCGGCCAAACCAAAACATGGCAGAAATCCATGAATTCACTGACAAATGGACTGAGTCATGTTGGTAGATGTAGGCTACCTGGTTGGGGTCCGCGAGCCGAAAGTCACCAATGGTTAGAGACCTTGAACGACATGGCTCAAAATCGTTTGCAATGGCGCAAGTGCATCCATTCGTTGTGCTCTCTCAAATCCTAATCTCCTGGAATCGTCAGCACCTTTACCTTTATCTTTCTAACCTTATCTCTCTAAATAATACTTCTTGAATAATATCTTCGAACCCTAGTCTTCTTCATTACCATTAATACCTCTACTATCTCTATCTCTATGGGAATTGATTTGACATTTGCATCTCTGTGCTAATGTGTTATGGCAACGTGAACTTATGTACATACGTACGAAGTTCTACGTTGTAACTGACTGACTGACTGACTGTTTTACGTTTTCGCATTTCAAAAAATCATAGTCTCTTCAATTCACTATAATATATATGAAAGTGTTTATTCGAAATTTACATATCACCTTTATTTATTTGTATAATATTAATGTAGTTCTGATTACTTTTAATATATTATTAAAGTAATATTTATTTATCTTATTTCGTTATATCTTTAATCTTTAGCCTGTTTGTAAGTTGGTTATTTCACGTTTATTTCATGATTTTTTTTATTCGTTATGCTTTAAATTATCTACAAAATTTTCACTCACTATGAGAAATTCTATATATATAAACAATCAAATTTGGCATTACAATTATTATTTCATGTAGAAATACAATAATTGCATGAAATGGTGGGTAAATATGTAACATTTACTAAGTTTACTATTACACTAATGATTAATTGTATGAATGATCAGATATATGTATAAATACATATAATTTTTGCTTCAATAATAAATGTCAAATTTTATGTTTTTATTCTAGATAATCATCAATGATCTTAATGACAATGCACCAGTCTTCTCAACCAATAATTATACTTTTCATTTACAAGAGAATCAAGCACGTAATACCATAGTTGGTCAAGTGAATGCAACCGATGCCGATTCATCTGTTTACGGTCCATTAGAATACAGCTTGGCTAATGATCAAGATTCAATGAATTTTACAATTGATAAAGTTACTGGCATTATCCGAAATCGTCAATCATTAGATCGTGAAGAAAAATCTCAATATATATTTCGTGTTTTAGTTAAAGACACAAAGATTAGATTATCAGGATTTAATAGTATGAATATAAATAAACCAAATTCAATGAATAATATACAATATACCGGTACGTCAACAGTCACAGTGATTATTGACGATGTCAATGACAATTGGCCAGTATTTATTAGTCCCAATGCCACAGCAAACACTTTGGCCATTAACTTAGATCAAAAGATTACTGGTTATAAACTAGCTTATATTCAAGCTGAAGATAAAGATGAAGGAAATAATGGTTTAATTACATATAATATTTTAACTGGCAATAATTATGGTTTGTTCGGACTTGATTCAACAAGTGGATTGTTGTATTTAACAAATCCTATCAGTGATAACAATGATATAAATGACCATAATAACGAATTGTATAATTCATCGAATGTATCTAATTTACCGAAAATTGATGAGTTTAATAGTCTTTTGCAAAAATCTAGCATGCATATACTAACATTGGAGGCATGTGATCAAGGTAAAGATCCGAAACCACGATGTACATTATATAATAATTTAAAAATAATCATACAGAATAGTAAAGACACTGATATACACATTTTAGAGAATAAACAAGCTCAATATAATTCATTTAATCAATTAGTCAATGATCCAGGATCAGCCACAGCCGAAACGATAGTATCTTCGGCATTTAATCAAAATCACCCAAATCACATTCAAAATAATTTTAAATCTATTCAAGAATTCAATAATGACAATATCTATCAAAAAACAACTGGTTTGGCGTATGGAAGTCTGTTGATGAGTAAACAAAATCATAAGGTGAATAGTTATGCGACCAATGACATGATGATTACTTGTCTATCGATTATCTTTGCCTTGGTTCTCATTGCAACGTTAATACTTGTTTGTTTGGTTCGCAGAAGAGTAGTGTGGTTTAAAAATCAAACTAAAAAACCAGGTAATTGGCGTACAATTTTAAAGTTTTTATTTGATTTTGTAATTTTAAAAACCAGTGGATTAGAACTGTTAAACTATGAGGAATGTTACGTTGGATAAGTATCATGGCTTCTTAAGAAAAGAGTTGGTTTTCATTAGGATTCGTCCGAACTCCCGACCGTAGCTGCTACCTTGTTGTGGTGGTCGGGCTTGTCTATCGTGATGACCCAACCTAGCTATATTGGCTGGAATATATGTTCCTGTTGGTTCTGCCAGTTTATTTAAAAGTCCATTTACCTGTAATGGCTGAAAGGACTCAAAGTCGATGTAAACTTAGTTTTCTAATACTGTTTGTTCTGGTATCGCTGGTTGCTAGTAGTCTATCTAATTTGAACAATGCAAGTAGTTTTCAAAGACTTTGGTTCAACCAATGAACAAAGTGTTGGGTACTATTATCATAGCATAGTGTTTTACTCAATGAAAGTAAAGACGTTTAATTTGACTCACGAGGTTGATTAGTTGTAGTTGAACTGAAATGAAAACTTGACATTATATTTATATAGGTTGCTACTAGTAGCTCAAGTAACTTGTTTATTTGACAGTGATTAAAGTTTATAAAAACATTCAAGACCGATTCAGCGATATCTTTAACTAGTTCCATTCAAAATATCAATTGCTAAATACTGATACATAACTTGACTTATCAAATATTTTATGCATTTTCTGAGGATGTTTCAATTTACTTCATTCAATTTATTTGGAAGGCATAAGAATAATTCCAAAAGTTTACATTGCACACATCTTTTCTGCCATTTATGAAATTTTCTTTGTTAATTTAGTGCTCATTGTGATACTGTACCTGTGGTACTGTACATTTTATTGCACCAATAATGTTAATAACATGATATTGTGTTTTAATTGTTGAAAACGTGTTGCTCACAAATATCTCATAACTGATATAAAGTCCAACTATTACTGAATATCTAAGAAGAACACAAGTTTGATTCAAAGATAAAACATACATTCTACAAATTGTTATATGATGCATGCAGTAGTGAAATGAACCAAGGGAAATTGAATTTTCCAAAATTAAGCTAATAGATGTAAATGGGAGAAAAATCTCAAATTATTTCACAGGCTGTAAATTCAGTCCGTGGTTAATAGTCATAATGGCAATTTGCCACAACAAACCTTTGAACATCATCAATCAGAAAATTTAAGAAATTAAATAGTACTTAATCCATTCACTTAATTTTACGGAAGTACAAAATTATGTAACTCGCGCGTATTGAACTCCTTCAACCTACATACATTTTGCATATATCTAGACTAATTACATATTAATTATACCATGCGCAGTTACAATCAAAGTCGATAAATAATAAGTTCTTTCATTTAAGACAATTCAGTTAAATTGTTTTCAAGCATAAACACATTCTCATATACTGAAATTTCAATCTACTCATTGAATTCCTTCAATTATTTAAACTTGAAATAATCAAGCAATAGTACTTTAGAAAATTAAATCATGATAAATAGATTTTTTAAAATTTCATCTTTTAACAACACTAATATTAGTTAAGTGAAGATGAGATCAAAAAATGGAGAATATACAAGTCAACTGAAAATTCCAATCGATGTAATTAACTTCTAATTATTTCGATTATTAGCCTAGAAATAAACCCTGTACTTTTTCATAATTACTAGATATTAGTTATTCAATATAGTTAAATAAGATAAGAACAACAATCCTATGAATGTAAGTGAAAATATAACGTTGTCTAGATTTTGCATGTATAGTTTAAATATAGAATTGTACAGGATTTAAAGGGGTTTTAGTTAGATAGTAGTATCAGAATGAATAATTCGATCACATAAATCATCAGTGGCAAATTTTGGAACATTAATACCAGCTACTGAACAAGTGAACTCTACTGTAATAATCCCATTTCGATAACCTTGTAAATAAGGTTATGGCTTGAAGTGAAGTGAAGTAAATTAGACAGAACAATTGAAAGTAATGTGTAATTTCTTGAGTTCAAAATGTAGATCTTTGTTACGTACTCTGTAAAAACTATTCACATCACTGCTTTATAAGCTGTGTACTTATCATCCAGTTGTAGGTAACCATACAGTTAACCGTTAGTTAATTCCAAAAGTCTTACAGAAATGTTGATGCATAAAGCCAAATAAATATTTATTTAAATCATTGTGTAGCATTAAGAAAATACATTTCCAACTATTATCCAACTTTACTGGAAAAAAAGTGGATTAATTTAAAACAAACGACTCGTTCAAGGATTCACAACTGAACAATGAATTGACAAGTCATTTTCAGCCATTTTTATTCATTACTCTTAAACTACTATTTATTCATCCACAAACTTTGTAGTTTGCTGAAGATTAAGTTGTGACAGCATTAAATTGACCAAAATGAATTATAATATACGGTTTTAAAACATTTATAGATAAGAGAGTATCTTCTTTCTGGATTTAACATTTCTCCGATTAAAATTCAAATAAATCATTCAACATCACGTTTTAAGGGAACATCTTGTTTTTGTTTAAAATAGTTCGTTTTTTCTTGAATGAGAAGTCGTTTCCATTCATACACTTACATTACGATTAAAATACACTAAACCTACCGTATAAATCTTTCATTTTTTCTATTCATAAAGAAGAACAAATAAAAATACCCACATCATGATGGTTTATTGCGTAGTATTTTGTTCTTCTTCTGCAAAAAACAAATTCGTTTTATACGGCTAAAAAAAAATTATCTATATAGAAATGATTACCTAAAGGCATTAGATGTGAGTATAATGTAGAAGTATAAAAAAACCGACATTCAATCAAACATTTATCAATATACACATCGAACAAGGCAATAAATAGTAGTAAATTTATGTTTCCCCAGAGAACATGGACAAGGCAAGATATACGGAATCCATTTGTGAACGTTAATGATTATAATAGTATCAAGTGTTTGCAAAGATAATTAAACGTCAGCATGACATAAAAAAATTTTTTCTACTGTTATTATTATGCTATCAATATCATTATGTCACATAGATAAAACATTTGCATACCTATTGTAAGGATGAAGTTCTTATAAAAAGCACACGGGAAACTAACAGTGATATAAACGGACAATAGCTCATTTAAATAAGTATTCTGTATGGATTCAACTTGAAATAAAATACAAGAAAATAGTTTTCGGTCATTTATTATTCAGATGATACCATATAATTTAGTTTACATAATTTTTCCACTATTGTTTATGTTGGGGACGTTAGATCCCCAGAAGTCGCTTGATAAATACCTTATTTTGGATTTCACGTTTGGGAGCATGGGCTGATCAGTCGACCTTGAGATTTCAGTTCCCACCAGGAAAATCCTTGGCTGTGATTAGCTGCCGTGTATTTTAGTTTACTAGTTTTGTGACTGTTCCAAGAATGTGTCTATGATGTATAAATAAACGAGACTTGTATGCTTGACTGCATTGTGCTTGCTGGGTGTTTGTAGAATATGCTTTTTACTCTTATCAAGGCTTCTTATTAGTCGTTTCAGATCAGATCACGAATCAATCATTGTTAGACCTAGATGCACTGAACTACCGTTTCATCTTAGTATGAGACTCATCAACAGTGCACACCCACGACCGTCGCTTACGGTAATCAAACCATGGACTTTGGGTATTGCGCGTGAACACAACCTCTAGACCACCGAGCTAGCATTCAGCGGTATTAATGTCTGACATTATTCAATTCAAGGTGTTGCAGAGTCTCACCCACTGTCTTTGCTAGGTAACTGTCTACACTCGACAGGGTTGAACTTCACTGGTCATGGCTTCTCACTAGAACTCTGAGCATTTCCTCACGAAGCTGGTCACTAGTTTTTGTTAGAGAGTTTTTTTGTGAAGATTGTTTAGTTTCATTGAGATCATCTGATTTCATTATGATTGTACAGTGAGTGGATAAAATATAATATAAAATACCACTTATCACTGTTCGACTTTTTTAATTCAAAACAATCGCTAGTTAAAGAGAAGCTTTAAACTCTTTTCTATTTAATTTTACCAATCAATAATAATCAACAAATAGATTTTGCAAGATTTTTTGGCTTCAGTTTTGAAAAATACCAAACACTATCATGTTTATTATTGTCAATTACAGCTTGTTACAAATAGTATTTTATTAATGAAACATGAATACGATCGCGGTATAACTATTATTATTTGAAAAATTAATGTATCAATTTACTGACTTTAAAGTAAAGTTATACAATTGTAATGTCATAATGTCGGTATCTTGTACCACTCCCATAACAATGAACTATACACTTGTAATTCTTAAGATATTTTATATAAATTTCATTTTTACATGCATCATAATACTTATTCTTCGCCTTAAACTCATACAAGGTTTAATAAAAACTGTCTTAATTCACAAAACAGATCTTAGTAACAATATGGTATGCAACGAAAAGAACTTACGTAATTAGTCTAATGAGATAACTTATTTGTGGGTCACCTACTTCGCTTGGTTTAAATGATTAATTAAATTAGTTATCAATGTATTGAACACTGACAGCGCAGCACTTTCCTTATATCCAAACTACTTACTATATAACAGTAATCCAACGACACTGATGATTACACTTAGAACCTAGATGTACATTGTCTAACACTACTTATTTGATTACCTAGTTTCAAGCGAACTTATTTGTTTCATCAAACCTTGATGTAATGTGTTCATTTCTACAGACAGTCTTATTGCTAATAATAACATTGACAGCTAATAAATTCCTACTTGAAAGATGTTCTAATAACTATCAATAGACTCGAATAAAACTGAATTGAAAAATGTTTAAACGTTACTAATCTTTAACTCTTGATATATATAGTACAAATGGTATTAGTACATGGTTTATTTTATCATCCTACCAACAAACATATTTTATTAAACGTGGCAAAGAATAAGTGTTCCTCTGAATCACTTCATTTTCTTTCATACTATCGAT